ATACTTTAACAATTAATTTTTTTTGGATTATAATTTGGTCAGTCATTGATGGACACCATGTTCGAAGAGGTGCTGGTTACTGGGAAGCATTCATTCTTCAAATATTTTGAATGCCTTTTTTATTTTTTTAATCAATTTTCTTGGTATTACCTCGAAAACTCACCACAAATTAAATCTGTTGTCTAAAATGGTAAAAACTTGCAGCGTGTTTACGTGCATTAGTATCAAAACACAGAAAGTAATTAGCTAAACATCAGTTGCCCAAATAGCTTATATGCAATGCTTACATAATATTACCTTCGATTAATTTGTTTTATTTTCAAATATTTGCGATTACCGAAACGATATGCAAAAAGGTGGTAGAACCGGGCACACTAACCTGGTAAATCATGGTGTTTCGATCACCCGATGATGCAGTAAAGCTTGGAATTTACTTAGTCACTGCCTTGCATTATAGAATGAGCAAAATGTAATCAAACACATTCTATGCGCTAATCGTACTTTTACAAACATTCTTTATCCAATGTTGGAATTATTATAGTTAGCTGTTGAATGATTTTTTGTAGGTGAAATAACTAAGATTTTTCAAATTTGAGTCCCATTCTCCTTTCTGTCCTAACACATACTAAATCCATCTTAATTACAGATGATCAATGGGGGCATGTAAGCAACCAATTTTGCCTTAGATTTACCGTTAACTTTACACGTTTGGGATAGAGGAAAAAAGTAGAAGTTAACCTCTTTCAGGACCATAAGCTAGGTGCTTCATGCTTGACATTTTTTCACATTGTTGGGTAATAGGACTGGCGGTGCATAACAACTCGAGCAGAACTGCTCCACCGCAGCCGTCGCAAGCCCTGGCCTCAAAAGGGCACAGGTCGTGCGCGTCACGGCAACCGAAGGACGCACATTTTCGTCGGTGGAGGCCAATGTAATGGTCCTCGGGGTCCCGAGTCCTACTTCGCCATTCTGCCTTACCACGTCCGGCTCAAAGGACTACTCAGCATGCTCACTACGAAGCAGGCCCAAGTACCCTCTACTTTTCCTTATCTTATCATTCTTAGGGCGACCTTTATGTCGTGGAGGACTTCGTGCTCTCCTCCGAGCTGGAGTCCGCAGCAGCGAAGGTCTACGAACTCGCCAATAATCGTGCCATGGATCGTCTGCGATTGTATAATGAAGAAAGCGATGATGATGCCTTAGTACAGCGCCTTCATCTGAAAGAACGGTTGAAGGAGAAACCAGTCGACGATCTTGACGTTCTTGCTTCCTCGATCGCGAGGGAGAAGGAGGAGGAGGAGGAGCTCTTGGATCTCATTAAAGGAGGTCGAGCTGCCGAAGCTGCGAGTTTGGGTCTACGTGCGGCGGAGTATCTACGGCGGGTTGTTGATGAACGCGGTTGGGGACCTGCTGTGCTCTTCATCACAGAGTAAGAATAGTCATAATCCTTACACCACCTTAGTGTAGAGAATTACTTGAACGGAAGTGAAAACCCGACCAGTGGGTTGGCAATGGCCTTGGCATGTGCCAGCTATGCCCACTACGTTGATGTCGATGTTGCTCCGGAATCTGCTGCTATCCAGGTTGGTTTTAGCACTGAAGCAGTATTGTGCCGCTTTTTCAGCGTGAAAGATACCAAGGTTGGTTGAACAATCGAAGGTTTGTGTGATTATCAGCATTGCTTGTGTGACCTGGAAGTTGGTTGGTCTGCCTATTGACCAATCCTGATTGCATAACTTTTTCAACCAATCGGTTGGTTGTGGGTGGTTCTGCTTCGTTGTTTTTGGTCGAATGTAAAATACCACTCTCCTACGAGTAAGCATGGGTTTTCTGGTAGTAGAACCTAAATTGTTTGGCCTTTTGGGTAGTAAAGACCAAGTTAATATTTCTAACTATCGCCCCTGACTTATTAAGGTTCGAGTCGTGTTTTGATGTGTGAGCTTTGCCTATAAATTGAATTGATTTAGTTGTAAGTACTGAATTATTAACCGGAAATTGGAACTTTGGATTTGATTTTGGTTCATTTATTTTGAGATGTCTACCTTCACAATTACTGCTTGAGGTGGCACAATTACTCGTGTTCACTCAAGGGCTATGAATTTGAAATGATTTTATTGTCTGTCTCATCAATTCAAAGGCCCGTTTACGCGAGGGTTCTCAGTACGCCGCACCACGGAGCTTACATCCCGGTCGCGGACTAACCCTCATGCCTGTTCATGGCTTGAACGTCTGGTCAATGGTCCATCATGACAGTCTGGTGTTGACACGGAAGGCGCTGGACATTCTAGAGGCACGTCTGCTTGCGGCACAGCGTCGTGTTGTCCGCCCAGACTCGACTGCTGAATGGCGTCCTCCACTGGCTGGCGATTGGTTGGTGGAACGGAGTCATGAGGAGGATGGGGCTCACTGCCCTGAGCGTCATTTTTCTGGCTTGGTAGGAGATCCTGAAGAGTTGAGACAGAAATTGCAGTAGTTCTGTGTAGTGATTTCATGCAATATACATTTTTTTACCAATCATTCGTTTGGAGACCTCTTTTTTGTGTGAGCTTTTGGTACTAGTTCATTTCGACAACTGGTGAATGTGAGCTATCGTCCATACCACCTACACTACCAATTTCCTAAGTCTCATTTGCATTTACGGTAGAGACGTATCTGTACATGGGCGTTTCATTCGTGGTAGCGTTACGGTGGATGGTATGAAACGGTGGGTTTGGAGGAATTTGGGAGTGGCGCTTATGATGGCATGGATTTATGCGATTCGTACACACCGCGGCAAGAAGAAGGGACCATTGTACAGTGTCTACCATGAAAGCGGGTGCATTCCAAACTGTGCATGAAGTTGTGTCTCAAGATTAGCGCATAATTAGACACAACAGTGTATTTAGTCGCCTTGGCTTTCACCACCACGAGTATGCAATGGACATCCCCTACCGTCTAAGTCCTCCCAGCGACGGCAAGCGAGCCCAGCTCAATTAAGCAAAATCCTGTTTTAGTTGACCAATTGCGAAATCCGCGCTTCGCAGGAAGATATTCGCCAGAGCGACAAGAAAAGTGCTGTACAACGACGCCTAACTATAACAGCTTGAGAACATGGTACCTCTTCCTTCCTCATGTTGATCTTGGACAATGAGTAGCATAAAACAGGATAAGCTCGAGATAGGACATTGCCCAGTCTTTGGGAGTGATGTGAATTCGACGTACCGGCCGAAATAGAATAGTAGCTACGGAGAGCGTCAAGGATAATAGCCGCCCAAATGTTGAGGACTACACGGACTTTTATTAGCATCGCGGCGTAATGGACGTCCGTCCACGCCCTGCTGCATACTGCGTTGTTAATTTTGCTATACTGTCTAATTGTTATGGTGAGGTTTGCGTGGACTGACCTGGATCCCGTTAGCGCCTAATCAGATAAACGGTAGGTAAGGCCTTCAGAACGGACGCCCTTACTGACTGACGTATATGGGCAAGCAGAGAGGTACGGCCTGCGCTCTAGGGTGATTATCAACGAACTTGAAGCTCCTTCACACGTGGTCTGTCAGCCAGAACAAACCAGAGCGCAATTTCTAGAATATGCGGAAAATTAGCCACGAAAATAGGGACTCCCAGAAGATCAGAATATGGAAGTTTTCTGGGGCCGCAGGGATTTCCAGTACGGTAATAGTCTCTTGGTTGACTAAATTTCCATTTCGTTATGCCTTGTTACGCCATTGGAGAGGGCTCCGGGGCGCTTTAGTATAATACAAAGGTGTGGCACGAATATCATCTCTTTATTTTATAACAAAAAAAAGAAGACTAATCCTATTCGGTCCGCGACAGATCAAACCTCAGCGGAACACATCTCAGCGTTTCCAGTTCCAACAGAACCATCGTGTACGACACATCAAAACGAGGCACTGCGATGAGTAATGCGCCCTTCCGTTCCCCCTCCGAAACATTCCAAAGTTCTAAGGAGGCGCGCCGAAATTGCGCAGCCTGCTGGTTTCCCGCCACAAAGATGTCCGGATAGTCAATTGAAACGCCCGTTTTCGGGTCCACACTAAATAGCAGGGTATCCGTGTCCATTTGGGGATAAGCAAAGAGTGTGTCTGGACAGGTTGGAGCTATGTGGCCCCAGTGCAATAGGGATTCCATGCAGTCTAGCGTATCGCCGACGATGGTATATCTACAGAGAAAAATGGAGCGAAATTAAGATCTTAACTGACAAATCATAGGTTTTTTTCGAGAGATCTGCTGAATAAGTGCCATGACCGGCAATACTACTCATTACCCCTAAATAAGTAAAATCCTTCACTTTAGATTCAATCATAGCAATATCTAGAGAAAATTTATCCCTTCTTGCACCATGGGAAGCTGAGAAATTAATACAGGTAGGTGGCCGAAAAATATATATTTAAGTAGCCAAAAAAAAACGGCTTAGTGAAAAAAGTTTTGGGTCCTGCGCCACAGACGAACCAGCCTAACATTTAATGGTAGATGCAGTTCATCGACCACCTTTAGAAGCATCAAGAAAAAAAAAATAAGTTCAAGAGAACTATTTACCGACTACCTAAATCTAGCAGGAAATCTAGAAATGTACAAAATTGTACGACGTCCTGTTGAAGTATCGAAGAGAATGCGTTGAGAGTGCCGGTAATCGCACTGTCAGGGATCCTGACATGATAACGTCAAAGCAGACGGGGCAAATTAAAGAGAATTGGCTACGGAGAACCTTGCTTTACCTAGCGATTCAACAAGTCCTGCACAATTGACGAGACTGTGTAGAAAAGTCACCAAGGATAAGTGGAAGGAGCAAGGTAGAAAAGACAGAATAAAACGGAGCAATTGTAAAAGTACGACAGTTGGGAGTGATGATTAGGAAGCTCAAAACACGAATAAGCCTTCAAACACTATGCGCGAACTCGGATACTAGAAACCCCGAAGAATTAATGTGAAACGCACTTATGGACATCAATGACATTCTGCCCTGAAGTAGCAAGAATGCGACGTGAATGAACCTCGGAGTAGCAGGGATTAGTCGAGCTAACGAGGGCCCCTTCCCCTCGGCCAAAGCGGGAGGTAGTACGAGGGAAGAGAAGAGGATGGAAGGGCTGTTGAGGTAGAAGTTGGGAGACACAGTCCGCGACGCCTGGGAGCAGTTCTACGCTGAAACCACCACCTCCACCCCCGCCACCGAGGGGCAGTTCAGAGAGCCAGGCGTCAAACATACCCATTGCCATCACAGAATCGGCATCCGCCCTGCGGCTCAGAAAACGGGCCTAGAGAGAGTTGACCGAGAATTGTTGACAGCAAAGCTTTGATAGTCAAATCAGAAGAGTGATTATTACCAATTGGAAAACCATCCCGTCATGTAAAATGAACTCCTATCAAGGCTCGTTAAACCACGCCATTCCTGGTTATTTTTGATCACGTTATTTAACCACTGATTGACAAGAGCTCATATAAATAAAACCTTAACTCAAGAAAAAAAAACTGTTTAAACCTAAGGTTTTTCCAGGCAGAAGGGATCTTCAAATAGGTAAGTCTGTTTTAGGTGTCCCAAAAGCAATCTCTTTACAATTTGGCAGCCACCATTGATTGATTGACGTGCTTGAAAGACCTCTACACTTAAGGGGGCGCTTGTAACTAAATGAATCTGTTCGAGAGCTTCCGAAGCAAACGCTTCGGGCTGTTTGCAGAATATTATAAAGCATTACTGCAAAGGACAAATTACGTCACCAATATCTGATCTCCTTTTTTTGAGATTACGAGAGCAAAAAGTGTTAAAACTACATTTTAAAAGAGGGCAATTCCTATTCCTTTAAATCAACGAGGCTTATCAGCATCGGCTTTGTTGTTCAGTGAAAGGCAATGGATGTGGGAAAAAGCACTAATCAGCAAGTGGCCGAATAATAGGATTTAGGCACCCCCTTTCAATTACAAGAAATTCATCTTGGGCTCATTTTTCAATTAACCGGAATAACTTTTGATGAAGGAAATCACCAGTTTCCAGACAATAACTTCGTTAAAGCTAACGAAAAATCTACTAAAAGCATTCCTAATCACTTCTAATAAGTGGGTTAAGTCATATCTGGGAAGAAATTTGATTGTTAGGACATATGAAGTAAGAATTACAGCTTAGAAAACGCCTTTACAGCTCAAGCACAAAGAACCCTACTTAATATATGTAGAGTTATGTGGTCAAGAAAAGTGGTGCTTAAAGTTCGTCTCCATCGGCAATACCCAATTAGCTCAGTAACACACATGTTGAACCACTCCAAGAGTCTCCAAGCCGCCAGGATCAGTCGAGCGAATGCAATCCCCGAGAACGAACAGACGGCACAAAGGCATCTTCCTCAACCAATCACCAAGGAGACGCAGCGCCAGAGCATGCCCGTGAGAGGTTCCATTGTTTGCCACCTCGGCCGACGCAGCAAAACCGAGGCCCGAGACAAATCCAACCCAACGACCGCTACTGTTCAGCAAAGGCGGACAAGGTGAATCAACATTTGCTGCCGCAATCGGTCTCATTGGTTGTGGCTCTAGAAAGGCGAGCTCAAGAACTGTGAATGTTCCTTCGGATCGTGCAGGCTCAAAACCGCGCAGACAAGTGACAACCCCTGTTGGAAGGCGATCTAAGGCGTCCGTATGGGGGGAGGCGACAAGAGTAATGCGCTGGACTTCGTCCTCGAGGAACATTTCGTCATCGCTGCTTGCTATACGTGTTAAATAATGCTGTCGCTCTTGTTCTTCGAGTTCCAGACGTCCACCTACTTGTTCCAGCAGCGTCAGCTGTCTCATTATGCTCGGCTTTTGTGCGCTTGACTGAAGGAGAATCGACGCATATAGTGCAAAAAATGGGGCGGGTTTTATTTTTATTGCACTGAATTCATTGCCCAATGCACTGTGATAGGAATTATTCAGAGTAAATTAGAGCCTTTTGGGTTTACGAAAATGAAAAAGTCAAAAGTATAAAGAGCGTTTATTTTTCGGTAACAATCTCCTACATTTACGCACTTATCCAAAAAAAATATAATTAATACTAGAACTGATTGCGAACTAAACAGCTAGTCAATAAAGCCTAGCTGTCATATTACACCCAACACGCATTACAAACACCACTTACAAATGTCCGGAAACGCTTGTGTTTAACATTCGCATAGAGAAAGGCAAGACTCTTGTGCAACTGCACGACAGGTTAGATATGGGAACCAGACGTCCCACATGCCTAATAAATATTCACTAAAATGACTTTTCAAGCTATGGGCTGAGAACCACCACTGTCGAGATCATCAATGACGGATTTGCTACCAGCCGCTGTTTTGAAATGTGTCATAAAGCTGTTCCTAAATAATGGCATTAAATCCTTAAAAATAGAATATCCAAATTCTACACTGGCCGTCGTCGTACCTTGCTTCTTTCAACAGCATCACGATCACTGAAACTTACATACTTCATGACAACACATGCTCTCCTAAACCGTGGCATAAGAGCGATTAATACAGAAAGAAATTATTGCAATCACAAGCGCTAAAGGTGGTCTTTATTGGCGCTTAAAAACGGAGAACTCGAAACAAAATCTATTACCAAATGAAAGATAAAAACAGGCACAACTTACTCTAAATATGGTACCGATAATGATACACTCTTCATCAACCTTAACATCTGGCACCGATCGAATTGGCAGCTCAGGCCAACGACGACGTGCCTGGTTTTCGAGGCGACAATGAGCAATTTTCAGCCGTGAAAGGTAAATAGATGCATACTGAGTGTAAAAGGAGCAGCCACCAATTGCGATGTGAAAGCGACCACGATCAGTGGTGACTACTGGAATCGTCATTAAGCTGAGATGTTAACAAAAAAGAGAATCACATATGTAGAGAATCAAGCCTGCTTTCACATATACTCAAGAACTAGCAAGAGACCATTTTACTAAAAGAATGTACACAAAGTAGGGAAGTCAAGTGAAGTCTGTCCTTAAAACAATCACGGCTGTTTCTAATTCTCACGTTTCTTAATTTGACACTTAAAAGATGTGAGAATAAGGCACGCTTAAGCTTGGAAAGATAGGAACCACTAAAATGGTATTAAAAAACTTAATTAATGCACTCCCTACTACGACGCAACAAAAAAGCCGTACTTTGTCCGGACGGGTAAGTCACGAGTACAATTAGTCGCCACTTTTGCCAAGAGGTAAAACAAAACCTGCCACTGTATTTACGGAAATTTGTTGTATATAAACGTATTTAAAAGCAAAAGGCAGCGAACAGATAAGTGCAGATCGTAAAAAAAGCTTTTTTAAACACCTCAGGCTTCATTTACTTTTGGATTTGTTCTTTCAGTATTGGGTAAAACAAAACAAACCGATAAGGTAGGCGCCTTTTGCCAATATATTTGATCTTAAAAAACTAATGATACAAGTTTGTTCCAACACAGATTCCATCAATGACAACCCCTTCTTCTACTTAAAGTACTGTTTAGTATTCCTCATTTTTTTTCACTCTTCATAATTTGGTAAGTCTGGATGGCGAAAGGCATGCCGTAGTAAATAAACCGAATTCTGTAATTAAGTTCTTAGGATCTGCACGATATTAGGCAAGATATTTGCTTCAATCCGGAATCAGTGGAGGCAAAATAGTTGAGCTTCGCAGAAGGGTTTCATTACAAAAGCATTCGACTACATACTGCAACACATATTTAAAGAGGGCTTTACGCTTTACTTAGTGAAGCAGCTGCTACATCAAATTTGGTGACTGGTAACCGTCATTTGATGGGACATTTAGGGTTTATTTCTTCTCCCGCCTCTAAATTAACATTCTTTACTTGTGGTTTGACTAGTTCAGTTAAATTGCAGCACTAGGGCCATAAATTTTGTTTTTGACCCCATTACCAACATTTGATTTTACCTGTGGACGGGTTTTCCCAATCTAGTTAGCGATATAACACAAATATTTGGGAAATGCGGGACAAAAAAACATAGGCCAACTCACTATTTTACGACCTTCAAGTAAATTTGTTTTTACAACTTCGTAAATACTCGTTGAAGTGGATACCGTCGGAAAACCCGCTTAAATTTTTGTCTACATGTTAAATAAAAAATAAACACGTATCTGGATAAATTTCAGCTCCTCGTGTCTAAAAACGCCGAAATGGTCTTTGCTACTGGTAACTAAAACCTTATTCTCTTTGCTACTTTATATTATCTGCACTCCATCCAACAATACAAATGTTTTTGTGCCGGCGTTGCTACTGGATACGGCCCACGTTTTGATTATATGATTTCTAAACCGAGACTTATTTCATAGACCACTTTCCTCAAATTGTTTTCACGAGTAACGCTTAGATTTACTTACAATTTCGCTGCACAAAGCGTTTTCTGACCCCTATTTTTACTCTTCTATCAATACATTTCAGCTGCGTGAGTTCTACTTGTCGACTTCTTTCCCCCGCATTTGTCTTCAACAGTTTTTGAGAATTTGTCTCGGTAAAATTAGTACGGCGATACCTATTTTCGTGCTCACATAGATATTTTGCTATTACTCTTTGCTTAAATCGGTGCCAATGCTTAGACGCGAATGGCTTAGTCTACCTTCTATTCTTCAAAAGGAAGCCCAACTAGATAACTCGGGTTTATTTTGACCACCAAAGTGAAGATTCTTATTTGTACAATCTGTTTACTTCCCTTTAGGTTTTCACTCCCATAGTTTTTCTAAATTATTGGTGGTTTTTATTTGTCGTCCTTTTACTTGAGCATGTAGGAAATATAACAAAGGTTCTTGAAGAATCAACTGATTTTTTTTCAAAAAGGCGATGCACCATTTATTTGCTTTTATTTGTGCTTTTCATCCAATTTATGCAACGCATCGCTTACTGAATCATGATTGCTTCAATTAGTATCAATTAAGAAAAAACATTCCCTATTGCTCTATTAAAAGAGAAGTGGATATTTTGGTTGCTACAAGGGCTTTTTTTATTATCTTAGGTAGCTTCTTAAAAAAGTTGCAGTCCGTCATTCGTCAATCATATTCATTACATTCCCCTAGCATTATGCAACAACCATTGGGACGTCCAGTCAACGCCAAAACTTCCCTTCCCCCGGGCATTCCCGGTTCACCCTTCGCCTACCTGCTGCTGCAAGTAACGCTATTTCGTAACACCACACGTCGATCTCTGCCTCTTAAGCACCTAGCAGTTCGAGTTGTCTGGTGGGGTGAGGATAGTTCCGATGGAGCTGCACTTCTCTTGCGTCCACGTATTGCTCAGCACCCTGGCTCTCAGAAGGAGACACAAGTTCGCAGCCACACGCGATACCCTGTGTGTGTGCCTCTGCACAAAATGCACAGTTATCTGGAAGGTTAATAACACCTTCTTTGCACTCAATTTGGTACTGAATGAATAATAGCAAGGTCTTAAGTCGTAAGTAGTCTGACCAGAATTCATTATGCGACTACTACCTCGTATGTTAAGGCGTTACAAGAAAGTTGGTCCGCGAATTTGTTAATGATTTCTCAAAAAAAACTGCAGTTATTTCTAGCATGATCAGAGCTGCATACTGCCAGCATAGGGGTCGAAGTGTGGGCAAGTAAAAGGAACACTTCATGAAATTTACAATTTAAGCTATCCTGAAAGACATTGCAAAGCGCGTAAGTATACAGACATCAGAATCATGGTGGCTGAAGGCTTTGACGGTCTGCCGGTAGCAAAGCTTGAGAATCGTTTGTTAGTTCCTGCGTCGTTTGTGGCTTACTGTGGGGGTACGATACCTCGTTCTGTTTTGTCGGCATTGCGGAAATAAAGAGATGTATCATAATCGTCTGAGGATCATGAAGGCCTAATAAAGGGCAATTTTTGTATTGTTATGGACGCTTTGGAATCTGCAGTCGATTTATTTTAGCTTTATTAGTCATATTCTCCGCTAGTGAAATGCAATGTAAAGGTTTCTTTAGTATACCCATAACATTTTGCAGGAACCCGTCCGAAATATCTGGATAATATGAACTTTTATTTCCTTTTCCATTACCATTTTACTGATGCCTAGTGACCTTTTTTGGGTAATTTTAACTAATTACAACACAATGAGGCATAAAAAACACTTATTTAATCTGGTTATGGCAGAATTTGTCATGTCCATTTGTCTTTGTACTGACAAAGTTAGGTATGGGAAATTGTTAAAAGTAGATGCGATTCCAATGGCCTTCCTGTGTATTATTTACAGGTCCGTTTATAGAAGCTACTTCTCCCTTCTACCATTATAGTCAGGACCACAGTTTTCTTGTGGTGAAGTCACTAATGAAGTAACAAATTTATCTCCGAAGCGGGTGATATTATCAGAGACGTTTACAGATCGTTTGCGAGTGAATGTATGAAGAGGCGCATGCAATGGCGTTTCACTGCTGTTTATTTAGATATGGGTTGCCTTTTCCTTGACGTTGTTGATGAATCAAACGGAGCAATTATAGGTCGAGGGAAGGTGGACAATCTTGAACGGCTGACACCTCGAAATCCAATTAAAAGGTGAGTTCAGGTTAGATGTTTTGCCCTAATTATCCTTGCTTTTTGTAGTGTTGTGGCTGTAGCGAATGCTAGAGGCTCAAAAATAGGTGAACTGACTGTCAGTCTGTCCTACGAGCTACTACAAGGTGAGATTGTTGTGTTTCTTTCTGATGACAAGGTAAAGCGATTTGTTCATTGCGTTCACTCTGTTCAGTTATGCAATTCGGCTATTAGCTCATGCATTTGAGTCTAGTAACAAATTTACTCAAATAATTTAAGCAGTATGCACAATTTATAACTTTTACCGCCAATTAATATAATATCATCCAGGTAACCTATTTTTAATCCCATAACAGTGAAGTGTTATTCGATAAATGGCAGTTTTTAATGTGATTTAACTAAACTACCAATGCTAAAGGATCTTTTTTTTGCCTATTTTGAGCCTTCTTGCTTCTTTCTGACTTTGCGTAGTCACTCAGTCTCACGGTATCCGCAAGAAGCACCAAAGTCTGCCCCGAGTGACTGCTATGTCTCTGAAACGCCTTCAATCGGCAGTTCCCCAAACCTCCATTTCGAATCCGGCAATTAATGTGCTTGACACCGAAGATCACAATTTCGAGGTATACTTTCGTAATTTAAAAGAAATACGAGGCTATGAATACCACACTGATATTCATCATACTAAATATGCTTACAATATTGTATAAAACTACACCGGAATTCGTCTTAAATTTGACTTTCTGTGCTTTTAAACCGATGGCATTGTAAAAATACTGACAGGTTAAATCTAACATACTTCTTTATCGAACATAGGCAGAGCCACTTTTCCGGATACCCACGTTGGATGGCACTGACGAAACAAGGGTTCAAAACACTGGTTTGGGTAAAGACACCGAAGTAAAAACCGCTCTGTTTGTGGAGGAGAACGATGAATTCGGCCTCGGTATGGAGGAGGTGTTAGTACGTATCCAATCAGCCCTCGAAGAAAGTCGTCGAATTCGTCAGCAGGTCTTGGGTGAAATTAACACTGAGGCTGAGCGGATGGATGAAACACTTATTACAAAGCCTGATTCTCCCGACATTCATCAGTAGGTGTAAATAACAATATCATAATGGAATCGTACGCACCTCAAAGCTTTACTTACTCCTTTATGCCAGATAGAAGCAATTAAAATTTGGGTTGCAATCAGACGCCATATTCTTTTTATTTGTGATATATAGGTAGTGGTTATTAAAACATTTCCCTAATTTAAACAGATCCAATGAAGATGAAGAACTTGGGGTGGAGAAAAAAAGCGACTTCACTATAAATCAGGCAGAAACGCAACTAGGTTCTACAATGAGTTCTCCACCTACGGAAATGCACTTCGGCTTGCTTGATGATGTAAACGGTCTTTTTGACGATGACTGTTGGGGCGCTTGTACAGACACAGATCTGGAAAGGGATGTCGTTATTGACAACGCTCTTTTTCCTCGTCACGTAAGTTTACTCTTTAAGATATCATATCTTCTCTGTAGTACAATAAAGGCAATTATGATGACTAGCTTAAAGTGCAGCAATTTGTTAACTTAAGGTTGATAATCTTTTGATAAAACTAAAACTAACTTCACTTTTGACCCATACTAAGGATGCATTGACCATTAAAATCATGAGTTGTTTTCTTGAACTGGTTCCTGTTTTTTGAAGAAATAGAAGCTGGCACAAAAAATGTCATAATTTGATATAAATGTATTACAGTAAATGCTTCAATGAAGTAGGGTAAATTCATGTTACAACAAGTATGTCAGGACTCCCAGATTTTCATGGAAACGATCCATCTAAGAAACTAATTTGACATTCGATCATAGTACCAGGGTAATTTTCTACCTTGTGCGGTAACGCTTCACGAGGAAAGCGTTTACCCACAATCCATAACTATGCAAAACCCTGTGCTATACAAGGTGAACTTCAACATGTCAAGCCGTAAGCAGTCCTCTTTGTTACAGAATGTAGCCACACAGTCTGAAGCCAATGTCAGCAACGAAGTTGAAGACCTTGACAACGTGGACAGGTCAGGTGGAGAGGTTGTCAAACAGACAAAAAAGTCAACTGTCGAAAATTCACCCTCACTACCTCCGAAGAGTGCAGCACTAGATCCACCTTGTGGTAAATTGTTTTTCACGAAGAAAACTTTACTAATTCTAGCTGTAGGCTGATCAAACAAACTTCACTCACGCCACCACTACACTTTGTTATAGGCTACCACGGACTGATTGAAATTTTATTAAAATATATGTTAACAGTATTTTTAGCATTTAGTCGTACTGACTTCTCCTTTCAATGAAATCTGGATCAAACTGATTTACCGCCTTGTAATTATATTTTGCTAGTTTTCGGCAAAATTTGGATGGTAATTACACCGACAAGTGATCACATTGGCTGGCTTAAATGATGGCGATAGCTTTTGACATGATACAGCATTATGCTACTCAATACGTATTCAGCATAACAAATACCATAGATTATATTTCATGTACCTTCATATAGACTCTCCTCTAAGTGCAGTTCGTCTTACCTTCCGTCGGTTGACCTTTCCTATGCAAATGTGGAATGCGATGGGCACAGTCATGACAGCGCTGGCCGCTAAGGAAAGAAAAAAATCCTCCCACCTTGCAAATCAACATCAGCGACAGTTGCAGCATGTCAGTAACATGAAGGGAGATGAAGGTAGTCTCAATTCTAGTGTCCATGCATACAAGATTGGATACGTAATTTTATCTTCATTTTTTGAGAGATAAAATTGAGGTAATGACCATGAGATGCTCTGGTGTTCACTTACTTTAGGAAATGAAACCCTATCTAACTTGCCTGCTTTTTTGGATTTGATTTTATTGGTCTGATATTTTAGATCGGAGGCCTCTGCAACGTCGAATCATGCTGGCGAATCAACAGCAGAAGCCACGATTCATGGATGGTGCTGGAGGAGTAATTAGGCTGAAAGATGGTTTGCAGAGGTCCAAAACTGGTCGAATTGTACAAAAAAGATCTACTGATAAGTCGCCAATCAAAGGGATGTCCATGTGGGCTACCTCTTAGGTTTCAGTGTCCTGTTTTACAACTTCATATCTATCTTGTGTCTTTTCATTTCTTTACTAGTCAAGCGGCAAAGGCTCCCAGTAACAAATCCTGGGATTTGTATCTAGAAATACTGGTTCCTACCGATCTGGTTGATGAGGAATCAAACACGGGTTTGTCTTTTCAACCCCTGATAGAAGATCTGACCCTCTGGTGCCAACGTATTCATCTTTGCCGAGGCATTTCCAAGCATTCTGCTCCTAATTTCCCTTCCACTTCCACGTCTAGTGCCCCCGTGGTCATCATCGTTCCACAGCGTGGTATGAATGGAGATAACTCACTACCACCGGAGGCTCTCGTTTTGTCCTCCAATCAAAATGATAATCTTGAAATTCTTCCAATCCGTTTGCAAATTTTTTGCAAACCTCCGCTTGTAACGCCTAATGGTCCAATAATTATGGTAGGTGTTAGTTGTCTGTTCTTAGGTTAATCTAACCGCTTAGATTATGACATTTTTCTTAAAACCTAGCTCGTTGGCAGCATCGAATTACCCTTCCATGCACTCATCTCCTCCCTCTACCACACCTCGCCTTCTAATCCTTCCGAACCGCCGAAGGCTTCACCAAAGACTCTTCGGGTGTGCATCGATTTTGCAGAACCAGTGAGGCAGCTTCTGTTAGAATTATTGGGAGAAGGGGATTCGGTGAATCTGTTGAAGAACTCCTTCGGTTTCATAAATGTAGAACCAATTTGGGCGACGTCAGTCAATAGTTCGATACCGCAGGTGGTGAGTAGTGAAACTTGAATTCCCCTTGAAGACATTTTTCGGGGGCACCAGTCTGTAGAGAGCTTTAATACTGGTGCGGGGAAGGGACTGAGGCTAATACCACGTAGTCAATGAGGGAAAACCAAGTTTATGCATCTTTCTTGTCTTGTTTTGAGCGCCGTCCTCTGTGTTCACGGGACGGCTACCATTCTGCATCAGCTCTCACCCTGAGATGTAATGGAAGTGGAATCAACTGAGACATGAAACAAAAATAAAATAAGACGTTTTTGTCTCAGCGAGAAGACTTTCTTGTTAAACGATAGCGATGCTTTCTTCAGAATCCGATGTCGTTAATGTTTTACACTGAAGGGGGATTTATTCGGAAGGTAGTGCCTAAGGTTGAGTGATTTTCTGCAACGGATGCATTTTTTATGTTAATTGCGTTCAGGAAGATGATCTGCTTTCATAAAAAGATTGAGTGCCTCATAAAGAGTTTTTTTCCTCAAACTACATATTTGCCGTTTCATCGCGACCCAGCCGAATATCTGAAGTATATCAAATTTTGTTATTCCCTTGTGCAGCAAATATTTTATGCATTTATTTGGCATAAAATAACTGGTCCTTGGTCGTTGTTGGTTGTGATTCAAAACTTAAAAGTTGGCATTTAACAAAAGTGAAAACGACTTGTGGTGCTTCCGGAATGACTCCTCGCGGATTCGGTCGTCTACAGCTGGTGTCCTTCGTCTGTAAAGTTGTACCATAGCATCTATCCCATGATGGTAAAATGTAATAGAAACGGAAGAAATTTCACACAATTTGCATTAGCAAAATTCATCTTCCTTTTTTAACACGCAATGGATGATTTAAAGACGTGATGATATTTTTTGAATTTCTCTTTGGAATTCCTTCACAAGCTTCTGTCCCAAGTTATTAGACCGGAGAGGTCGTATAACAGGGCTACCGTTCTCCATACAGGTACAGAAAACCAGTCCCATGCAGGAAAACTTGCTTAATCAAGGAGATTCCTTACCATCTACGAACCTGAAAGACGCCACACCTCCCAGTCCCTTTCAACTCGATGTTCTACTAAACGTTCGCGAAGCACGCGATCTCCATTCGCCCCAATCAAACGGTCGTCTGCAGCACTCCTTCCTCGTCATACGAATTCCGTGGTGCAGTGAAGAGACTCTCGTAGACCAGCGAATTGTCTACAAGACCAAACGCTTTCACTCCGCTATTTCGTGGGGCTCTGGGGCCACACCTGCCTTCCACTTCGGGCTCAGGGCTTCTGCTTTACTTTCAGAGGTGAGGCACAAGTGTATCTGACTTCTTCTATTGAGCAAATTTGTTTGTATAACCGTTGATTCCCGTAGGATCAGATGGTTCGCTTATCAAAGGCCTTCATCGCTGTTGAGGTGTGGGAACGACACACGGGTTGTGGAGCGGAGAGGGATGAGATTATTGGTCTGGCCAAGGTCATGACCTTGGGGCTTGCCTCGCTTTACCCATTGAATGTGTCCTCGAAGAGAGTAACCGAGTCTCGCGTAAGTTTGAAGCTAAGTAAACTAATGATAAATGATGTGAGTTTAGTGTTTGATAGTTTGGGTGATACTGCATATAGCTAAGCATCTCGTCGTCGATGCTATTGGAATTTGCTCGCGTTTTTTTTTCTCCCCCTCAAAGAAACTCGAATGTTTTGAGATTATTTATGCTCTTTCAAGATATTTTAACTCTTCTTTTAATGACAAAGGTATCATTCTCCGTGGACGTTGAAGATCCAATTTTTTTTAACTCTTTATGGAACGTATGAACGAGGTGAAATTTGTAAAGAATGTATACTTTAACTATCAACTGCTGATTCTCCCTCACTGCAGGTTCCCCTCCTTCAAGAAGAGGCCTGGCTCCAAGTGGCTTCGCCTTCAACGGGTCAGGTTTGTGGTCAGTTACGGACTCGATTTTCCGCTGGAACAGCCAATCAAATCTCTGTCTTGCTTGAGGTTGATCGAGAAACTGCAGTGGCAGGATGTACCGATTGGCGGTGCATTGATTTCATTCGATGGAAAGAGCCCAGTATCATAAGTGGTAGTCGTGACTCCTGTTGTTATTCGCGTCAGTCACATGGCAACGAGGAATATGATTGCGCATCAAGCCTTGAGGAACTGATTAGCATTTCTGGTGAGGAATACGCTCTAGCACCTATCCTTGTGCTGTTTATTTCTAGCGATTGTAGTTTAGTACACAAATATACTGAAATAATATGAGTAGTAAAAAGTGCGGGAATAATGGAATTGATTCGTAAAAACGAAATAAAAAACGAATTTAATCTCTTTTTTTGCTCAGTTAAGCACTCCCTGGACATAAGCCTACTCTCGCTGACAGATTTTCGTCCAAGTTTGTCGGAGAGCCTGCAGAAGGAGTTAGGAGCTGATATGTTTCTATTCAACGACTGCGATTGTTTCATCCAATATATGATCCCTAGTGGTAAGTCTCCTTGCTGTATTAGGTAGGATGAATGTTGCTTTCAAATATTAGCAATTAACGGAAAGTAGGATTCCTAAAGTGTCAGCACAATTTTTTTATCTAGTGTCATATTTGAAGAGGTATTGGCCTCAATTGTATTTAAAAACATTTTGTGGTGGATTATTTGTTAGCTACGTCTGTGTTTGTATTTTTTTGACTTTGACAGTAAACACACACACTAGTACTAGTAAGCTTTGGCTTTATTATCAACCGTCACCCATTTTTACTATTATGAACCTGAAGAAGTGATCTTCGGTACCATACTGCGGTGAGTGGATGGCACACGTTAAGACGTTCACAAAATCAGAGTTGTAAGAAATACTAAAAGTTAGAGCCATTCACTGTACAAGTTCTTGGAAATTTGTGTAACACAAACCATGAGCTTTATTTTGCCCTCTAGATCTGGAGACAAATTCCTCAATATTTCGTAGTCCCCTTCGACCACTACAACCACTTCTTCAACCCACAGACATCCGTCAGTCTCCTCTGTCTAAAGATGTAGAAAAGTATCGAAAGAGTTCAAATGACGAGAAGCCTACGAGGGACGTGCATAGTGGAGTTGAAGTGGAGTGGAAAGAAGGTTCCTTACACGAATCCCACTCCCACACCTTCGTCATTGAGGCGAGCAGTGAGAAGAATATCTTAAACAGCGCTAACCGTCTGGACAGTCTCGCTTTTCTCGTCTGGCTGGGGCGAGGTACCCAAAGTGTTGTAGTGAGATAACTAATGTGTTTGGCTTCTTTTAAAATAGTAGTACATTTTATTGAATAGATGTTTTACTTGGATGACGTACAATAACATCCTCTTCGATCTTCCTTTTTTGGGGGTGCTTAAACACTACCCATAAACTTAGAAAGACATAACGATTGTAAAGATTGAATTATCAGGTCTTATTCTAGACGCCAATTTTGTATTTGTCTCCCATTGTCGTATTCTGGTGTGTTGAAATGGTCTATGGAATGGGGGCAACTGCGGTGTGACAAATTCTCACTGCAGTGTATTCACTAAACTACTCGCATGAATTATTACCGATTTTGCCATTTTCTAGGAACGAAATCATCAGAAAGCGGAATTCCCTTTGAATTTTGGCTGCGCCTCTACTCTCCAAAGCTACGAGATATATGCGTTGCTCGTGGAGTGCTTCCATGGGACCTCCTGGAACATCATATCATGCCACCTCCTATAATTCCTTCTTCCATTAAGAGCCTAAAGAAACTCGACGATTTCTTACCAGAATGGAGTCGAGATCTTTCTCGGCACTCGTTATCGCTCTTCGATGTCCTTTCCAATAAGCTTTCGGCGCGTCTCTTTCTCAATATTGTATACAGGTACAAAAGTTTTGCACGCATACTCATTAAAATACTAAGATTGCCTAAAAATATGCTGCAAAAATTCTGACTCAAATCATGCAGATAAGTGAGTTATCTTTAAAAAATGTAGAAAGGCGTACAAGCCTTTGTGTAAACGCGAAAAGACCAGAAAAGCTAATGGTGCTAAAAAGTTCTGTATCATATGGATGTTCCTCCTGGTGCTCTCTGCTCTATTCTAAAATGATCAGGTGTGTGGTTATCACTTGCAGTTATCTAGTCACATTTAGCTACAGTAGTGTGCTTGTGAACTCCTTCTTGCAAAACATTTCGTGTGGATGTATTTGTCACTATTATCGGAGTTGGCTAGACAACACTTCATAACGGTTGTACATCCTTATGCAAACATATCGTCTTTGAAGTAGAGGCATTTTAATAACAACAAAGAATTGGTGGTAAGATTGCACTTCATAATGGTTTGTCGCATTTCAACTTTCGTCAATCAGTACTGGATAACTCTCTAACATCTTCGAAACGATCATCTTGTTGAATTCCGTATCGTCGAAGTCGACTGATGTGATAATAATGCATCTTCTATTTTAGGCTCAAAACCACCATTCGGCACCTTTCAGGTACAATTATCAATGATCCTGGCGAAAGCAGAGCCACTTGTGTTCTCTGTCATCCGCGCGCAGCACTCCATCTTGCCCCTTCTACCGCGCGCCCAGGCATCCATCTTCACGTCAATCTCCTCGCCTTGTCAGGTCTGAAAGCAGCCGCTTCTGGCCTAGGTGGAACTGCGCGCCTCCAACTGCGAATGCATTGCCTCCTCCTTCTCCCCCCCGCCAAATGTTTGCATCATGCTAATCCGCCTCGTCTTCTGGCTACAACGGTGTCCAAAACACCACTCACCGCGTTTCATGCAAGTCAGGAAGAACTGAAGATGCGGTTGGATGTGTTGCTTCCACTAGGATGGACATATACAACGTCTTCCTCTCATGAGGTTAGCTTTGGTAGGATAATTTTCCAACGTCTTCGTTAACGCACAGAAATGGGGAAAGTTGATCACCACAGCTTAAACGACCTCTTATTCTAGCATAGTACAAATTGTCATTGGCTTTTTGAAAATTCAGTTGCTACCTAAAATTTTCAAAGTGCACTTTTAGGCAAAGGTAGATCAAACTACTATTAACCGTAACACTAAAGCGCCAGTTACTAATTACATCCTTGCTAATAGTTTTCCATCGTTCAAATTCCATATATCTAATTTCTGTTAGGATGTGATGATATCTGTTATAAGAGCGAAAAATGCATATTTAGAGCATGTTTTATAAACCTGCTTTAATTCAGTGCCTGCCGCCTCATAAGAATGCGGGAGGGAAGGAAAATTTCACAAACTTTTCACTCGCCGAGGCGCTAGCTTACGGTCGGATGGAGATGGCTGACAGAGAGGCATGGCTTTGTGGACGCGTTAAGCGACCCTGTCTGGTGATCCAACTGGATGTCTGGGAAATGGAAGATGTAGATGATTCCAACCTCATCGAAGATCAACTCACCTTCTGGAGTGCGTACACTCCCGTCAATTATTACATATCCAATTCCCTCAAATAATCAAATACCCAGTTTTGTCTTTTCTGGTATTTTACATTAGCTTTTACTACTTCAAATAGGGGTGTTGAAGCGCGATTGATGTTTTTATGTTAGAGCTATTTTTGTGAAACTAAGACAGGATAGGTCAGGGATTCGAATGACGTTTACGTGATTTTTCTAGACCTCGTATTTCATTGGCTAGCTAGGCGATTATTAAACAGCACCAATTGATTAAATGAGCAACTTTATATAAAATAATCCTTTACCTCTAATTTTAACGCAGACATCAACTACGACATTGAAAGTGATATGAAAATGGGTTTGGCTGGTAACTTCTTTCCACTAGCCAGCTGTCGGGTGCCTCTAAGTGATCTTCTCTTCTCAGGTGTTTTAACACCTCGCTGGTTCACTCTTCTTCAAACTCCCTCATCACCATCCAGATTACCAGAACCGGTTCGTCGTTACCATTTGGCGGGTGCTTTTGAATTGTCTGCAAGTCTTGGGGCAGTATCGACACGAAGGAAGGTTCTTGAAGAGGTAGTTTCACAGGCTTCGCCGATGGCTCTTCAGTCTCTGCATTCTCTGGGGTTCGATCTGGCTGTTGGATCTGTTTCAAGGATCTGTTTAAGCCCAAAGAGTGCTGGAATGAGTGAGTAAATTTGATATCAAATATTAAGCTAACCGAGCGTCTAAATACATGAAAATGTTCCTCCTCCTTTGCAGACGACGAAAAACGCCAGCTCGCTCTCTACTTCTCGGCGGCTCATCTACCCACAGAAGAGTCGCTTTTAAGTCCAGACGAGCTGGAAACCTGTGAAGAACGCGGACTGCAAGGATACTTCTTCGCACGTGCCGTGATGGACTCCGACTTCCAGATGTCCAATAGCCATCCACTCCCACGAAGCTCCAATAAGTTGGCAGGCAATGGTGATAGAGGTGTTGTGATGGTATATGTGCTTGATTTTGTCTAGTTGATACTCGATTTTTGCGTCACTAAAAGACAATTCTTCTTCTAACATTCTTTCAAATCACACTGCAGCTTTTATTTCAAGGAATGCTGCCATATCAGTATTAAGTGGCCCGTTATTCTCACAATAGGACCTGCGTTGCCACCGAAACCTTTCCAAAAGTGGATCCAGCCTCCACTACTTTAGGTTTGGAATGACAACGCAGTAATTAGTTTTTCATTTCCTCAGCTATTTTACATAAATGCTATCTAAAGATTTGAAGATAAGGGTTGGTTATATCACCGTAAATAGCAATGAAGTACTGGCATAATGAATATGGCACTCAAAAGGCACGAAAATCCTTCCAAATCGCGCTTTTTTCATCACGTCTTTCATTCTGCCTATTTTAGTTCCAAGATTGCCTCACTTTCCGTGCTTCAATTACACCTCGATCTAAAAATGCGGTCTTGGAAGTGCAGATTTGGGCTAAATGGCTCTCAAGGAAAGATTCTTCGCCTCGTGCTAACTCTTTTGACACAATCGGGTCAGTGTTTCCATTAATTCTTGCTTGTTTGCCTGAATGAGTTAAGTAAATTATACATATACACCGAAAGATTTTAAAATTTGAATGGTCCGTAGTAGCCACCCCTAGCCTTTGCCTAATCCAGCACCATTTTCTTGAGTAAAGAGACCCCATTATGATCTAATGGGGAGAGGTTTTGTTCAATTATGGAAGTGCCTTTTGTCCTTCAATAAAGCTTACCTAAAACTGATTCTTTTAGAGTTCCAGCTCCACGTTTTCTGGGGTCCCTACAACTACCCCTCTTCGAACTCCTGAGAAGTGAAACATCTAAGGACCTTCCAGAAGCTTTCCACTGGTCATTCCTCCGAGATGACTCATCGTGGGATTTGACGTCAAATCATGATCGCTTTCCTGTCTATCCATTGTTTCAGCCTTCTGTGGATAACTTGAATGACAACTGGATTGCAGTCAAAATTTACAGTTCTCCCTTAGCGACCACAAAGGTGGATGTGCTTGTTTAAATTATTTCATTAGATTTTTCAAGAATTATTGATTTGGTCCGTCGATGGGTTTTTACATTCAATTTACTAGACGAATTTGTTTTAAGTGAGGAATGTTTAATGACTAATTATGTGGTGTTTGGTGGAACAATTTGAATATAGTTGTATCGAGTGGTCAAATAAGTTCTTCCGGTGTTAGGCACAACTCCCTGCAATGACAATTTAAACATCTAAGAACCCATAGATGGTACGGCAGACTATTTTGCTGGCCACTATTTTCCCCCTACTGGAGCCTGCCACGATTCGAACTAGTCTGCTTTGCGAATTTTGGATCCCTATTTCCCATCTTTACAAATGCATCATCATTTTATATCCAACTGATAATTTTTTTCTCAATTTTGTGCAACTTCTTTCCAATTTAAAAAAAATTCACTCATACTTTATTGGCTTATTCTTGTTAATACCTCCTTTGGTAATGAGTAATTCCCTGACTGACAAGTTTATTGGAGAGCTCCTATAAATCCCTACCTACTACGTTGTAAAACAAATAATAGTAAAGGATTACAAAAAGTGTATGATTTTGGCCATTCGCTTGCTTAACAGTACGACTTCTTACACTGACAGGAAGAACTGATGCATGACTTCAAAATCTCACGAGTTGGCACAATCACAGAACGCGGTGCTCTCGTCTGGTTTTCCGACGCTCAAGCTAACAAAAATCTGCCCGTTTTGTACAGCACTGTTGACAGAGATGCGTCTCCTACGAAAGTGGAATCGTTTCCAGCCTACGTACATCTGGAGCGCGCAAATAGACTCGTATCCGATGCCACGTGAGTACAATTTTGGTGGAGGACGTCAGCGAATCATTGTTATAGACGGTGACCACGATAAGGCGATTTGAATGCCCGTAGAACGCAGAGTTTTGATAAGATTTTAATTTTTTGGAAGGATTTACTTTTATATTGAAGTACAATGAATTTGCGAGCTCATAAATCCAGACCCTTTACCTTGACTGCTTTATGGGCCTCCGATTTTTCAAGGCCAATCTCAGTCAGGCAGTGGATAAGCAAAAACATAACGCGAGAAATCCTTTACGTGAAGCTTCTTGAGTTGCTCGACTGCGATATTTTGAAGATGGATAATGACTCGTCATTGCCAAGAGATTCGGGCCACTGTAAATAAATCCAAAGGTTTCGAAAACTTGGTGGATAAGCCAGCACCGAAAAGGCACTTATCTGCTCTAAACTTGTCCTTTGTTGCTCCGTCTCGAATGGGTGAGAAAAAAAAATGAAATTGCTTCTTATCCTTACTCAGTAAGTATATTCTGCAATGCAGCTGAGGGCTGTTGTTAGGCTGCATAGCTTTCTTAGCACTACTGAATCGGTTGCAGCGCAGTGGACATCCATCCAAGGCATCTGTTTGGCTGCAATACCATCACATTGAGATTTTCATGATCGGAACCCATCCCATCAGTACGGAGACCGAATCGTGTATTTGATCAGGGTAAATAATCTACTGCTGCAAAAATAATCCTTTTAATTCGGCTTTAGACGACTCGATCGCTCGAGTGTGGAGACCTTTGCGACTTTTGTGGTGGCTGATGAAAACCGTGTGGAGATGGGTGCACAACGCGTGGTTGTGACACCCCTAGCAAGCCACCGTGCCTCACCTGTCTGGAATTACCGCCGTTATGTCCGCCTGCCTCTTGCCCTTACCACCACAGGGTCACAGGTCCGTTTTCCATGAATTTTGCCTGATTACTTTTAAATGATGCGGAATGCCAGTTCTAAGAATCACTTGCCAAATATGTAATCGTGTCTATTATCTTCCCTGCTGGCTTATGGAGCTTTGTGTACTGAAAATAACAAAAAGCACTCGTTTGCGAATCACAAAACGATGTGTCCATTTCGATTATTCTTTCCCCTTTATGTACATAAATTCATTCATTTTTTTTTCACATCAGTTGTTGAATGGTTAATTTGTATTCCCGTTTATTAATGTCTTTGAGAGTGGATCGTCTTAGGTCCTACTGTTTCACCAATAAATTTTAATTATTTCGGTGACAGTTATTTCCCCCTAATACGCTTGCTATCTGGGTCTCGGAGGGAAGATTTATCGCCACACCACAGATGCTTTGTAGCCAAAAATGTGACCTCACTCGCATTTATTTTCCAGTCTAAGTTAAATGTGACCCCAAAAAAAGCATATTCTGCTTCCATCTTGGTGGCCTAAATCTGTCCGTAACACGGGGCCTGCTGCACCCATCGCCCATTAATCTGATAAGGATTGAATGTCACCTCTGTTTGACGTGTGACTTCAGATAAGAAAATCGACGCAAACGTGTTAAAATTGTCTTTTTTTGCAGGTTTCTCCATCATGTCATCGTGCAAAAACTCCAACACTATCGCCTCATTCGCAAAACAAATATTGCATGCTACATTTGGCCTGATCAAAGTCGAGATACTTACTTTCCTTCCCATAACGCGTAAATACACCGTTTGACGGTTTCAGCACCGGTGAAAAAATGTCCCTAACACGTAGTTGAGTAAAAGTGCTCACCGTTACAAGAGAATAGCATCCAGGTGTTGGAAAATTTACCCATGATACTCATACAATTACCAAGAAGAAAGTCGATTTTTGAGCCTTTTGTCTTGCTCACTTGAAGTTCTTTATTTTGAGGCGCAAATAGTCTTGAATCCAGTATTTTTTCTCCAACGCACCTCTTAATGACAAAAGAAGGTAGCCACAGAAAGCTTGTCACCGTGTTCGATGGTTCGAAATCGTTGCAGGGGAATAGTAAAGTAGCTTAACATGCACGTATCTTGATGGGAAGTATTCTCTACCATTCAGGGTTTTGTAGTGGACTTTTGGGAGAAAAGCCAAGGTGAAGCGCATCCACTACACCTGGGCACCGCGACGATGCAGCTCTCTACACTTATCCTGCCTCGCGCTGCTTCTTCCTCAGCCACCAATACCGCAATGGAGAAGGCTGGTGTCGGGCTGGAATTTGTGCGTGGATGGTACGAGATCCTTGACCAACAGGGTACCTCCAGGGGTCAGGTTCTCATGGCTGTCTATCCACTGGCGGAGAATGAAGAGAATCCGCACGTCACAAGACTCTGTCCACGTTTGGAGGCTCTGCTTGAACCTGGTAGTGCTGTGCGATTTCAGGTGGGTTTCGTGCAGTTATTATATTTGTTCGAGCATCTCGACGATCACTAACACCCGACATTAATGTCGAGGTCGTTGTTCTTCTGTGGAACGATGGAGAGGACTGATGAAAATATTTGCGCCCGTTAGGGTCTCACTCCTTCACTGGTCTCCATAATAGTGAAGCGCCAAATGCATCTCTTCCTTAAATTTGTTATTCGGACACCAAACAGACGTTACATTCTTGCACTCCCAAATACAACTTTTGTGAGGAGAATGCAAACTCTGCCTAATTTTCGAATATTTTTTGTGATTGTGAATTAGCAGAAAGCTTAGAAAATTCATAAAGCGTCTTTTGCGAATTTATGCTCAAGTAAGCTGTGCTCCCCCCCAGTCGAGTCGCATTTTCTTTTGCTGGTTCCTATGTTTGCCTGTTAAAGGAGATACCAGTTGGTGCACCACCCATTCACCGCCGTAAATCGCCCAAGTTTGACTCTATACCTGCACTCACAGTCTCTCCGCCGTCCTCCGAAAAACGAGCTTCCCCTTCCAACTCATCGCAGAAGTTAACTGGTTTGAGAGAGGTTGAACAGGGCCAACCCATAGCTAGCACGTCTTCCCTCCTCACCGCGCTTCAGTGAGTTGACACATTTTGAACTATGAACACAAAGCATACAATCGCTTACTCTGTTGTCCTTTACAAAGGTCAAGATTGGACGAACTGGACGTTCAGAATGCTCGTTTTAAGCAGAAACTCTTAGAACTTTCTAATGAGCCTCGTGAGGTGGAGGCAACTCAAGCTGAATCTCCACGCTCAGAACGACCTGGTAAGGGATGTAAGATGCACAAAGTCTCCCCCGATCCATCCCAAAATGAACAGAAAGAGGAGATCCTTCCCCCCTCTCCTTATCGCACTCAGTATAGCTCCACCACTGATAACTTCCTCTTCCTTTGTGGGACCGGTGACAACAACTCCAAGATTCGAACCGCCTCTTCAGCTTCAAGCATCACATCTAAATCGGATTCTTCTGATGGTAATTTATTCTCTCCTAGTCCACAATCCATGTATTCTAAGGAATGATTCTAGACGAAGAAGAAGACGAGCAAGCAGAGGTGCTGATAATTGAAGGCGACAGCATGGATGAGTGCGAAGAAATAGAAGAGGACAGTGTAAGTGAACCTGAAAATCAACCCACCTTCTCTGAAAATGGTTAGTCAAAGCACTTTCTTGAAATGCCATAGTTTTATCAGAACTACTGGTTTTTTTTTCACCTTCTCCATGTAGATAGTAGTGAACAAAAGGAAACGGGGGCTAGGCAGCATAAAATCATGGATCAAGAATGCACAGAGACCGGACACCTTCCACTGCCGCGTACTTCAACATCCAAGTTGCCAGGAAAGGAAGCGTACGACGATGACCGAACAAGCCTTGCTTCCTCCTCCTCTGCGTCTACAATCGCCTCACTCGGTACCCAACTACTACTGAAGGAGCATCTCGGTGAGCCAACTGGAAGTAAGTTATTTAGCAAAAATGTCCAATCCACGGCACAAAAGGAGGGAAACGACTGTCCTTCCACGTGGTCGGCATCAAGTACAGACGTGGAAGAATATCTGCAGCGTTTCCGGCAAGATTTGACAGATCAACCGAAGTTTCCAACGATAATGCCTAGTCCAAGGAAATTAGTAATTTCCGAGGAAGAAGCTGAGACTCTAACCTCTCTTCAAACTCATGCCTGCATCGCCCGTACAATATCAACGAGAAGCACAGAAGAGTAAGTGATAGACTGTAATTGCCTCACCCCTCTTCTAGCCGAAGAACTGAAGCTGATGTAGAGTCCGCAGAATACGACGAACCAACAGGAGTTGGTGATCTGTTGGACGAGGATTCCGCATCGGATAGTGCAACCATCTCGATGAAACCACCCAGAAAATTTATGCCCAATTGTTCAGATGATGCACCATGGAGGGATGCCAACGCTCCTGTTTCACACTGTCACCTGCAAGCCCTCAAACTAGCTCGGAAGGCGGCGGAGTCCGTAAGGCTTCAAAAGCCTCCCAGAGTGAACTCGCCATCACGCCTCTTGGGTCAAGAATTTATCGAGGTGAGGAAAATCTCGTGCAACATTGAAATACCAGAACTCTGTGGACTGGGTATAACTACCTCGTCTGACACACTCTCTAGGATCCAATTCGTCAACGAATCCACGCAAATTTATCTTCCCTGGTTCGGAAGACCATTTCTACAACAGGTGATCGTTTGCAGCGGTCAGAAGCTACGGCGGCAGCAATTTTAAAGTCGACGTCTCAGGAGGACACAACGATGGCATCCACGTCGACTTCTCAGCTCTCTTCCTCCGCCACTGCGGTCCAACTTTCGTCCCGTTCACTGGCTCGAGCAGCGCGTATATTTGAGATGAAACTGTGATGTCATCTTATGCTGCCTTTCAGTTCCTCTATCTGTAACCCAGACTTAACCAATGGTGGTGGAGGTGGTGTAGTGGTGTGAAAATTCATTTTTTTAAACAAAAAGATGCAGAATAAATTGTCAATCACGGTAATAACAAAATACGAGGGTAGTTTTTTGTGCCAATTGGGGACTTTTGAGATTAGCAAGAAGTCAAACCCATTTATAGGAGCCAAAATTGCAGTTTTCCAGTACATGTAAAACTAACGCTGATGTGGGATTTGCTAATACGGTTTTGACCCTTTTGGAATAACCCGCTTAAAGTCGTCTTAGTATGTGATTGTAAAATGCGAATCCTCCTAGTCATGTTTCCCATTTCACCAAAATGAAGGGGGGGGGGGGGGCTTTCGGGTGTCGATTAACCGTTTAAAGTGCTAAATGTCCTCAAAAATGGCTGCTGACGGTACTGATATGCCTTACTTTGACCGGGCATCCAACCAACGTTTTCTGCTTGAAGTCTTCTGAAAGTCCAACCTGCAGTTCGACCTTGGCCTAAATGGCTTGCATATAGGTCTGCTAAAGCCGCAATTGCGACAGATTCGAAACGGTTGTGATGAAACCACGCAACAAAATCAAGAAAATTGGTTGGTTAAAGTTGACATGATTATGCAATAATGGGACGACAAAAAGCAAAAAATCCTGTAAGGGAAACAATGGTCTAACTGCCCTGTTCAGATTTCCGCTTAGAAACATGCTAGCAGAGGGCAGATTTGATTTCATCTTGGGACGAATAAGCTTCATCCGGGAATGGTCAGTAGCCCCCAACATTTTACAGATCTATGAATTAGAAAAGGGCTAGTAATTACGATGACGGAGACACATGGTAAGCTGCAGGGAATATTCTGAGTGGAAAGTGCAAATAAATGCTGTGGGGCATGGCCATCGAGCGATTACCGGTTTGACTCAAACCACTTTCTGGTCCAACCACGACCTCGGGCAAGTTTTTGCTGTTTGTGAAGAAAGAGCGATAGCGAAAACCCGTATACATTAACCAAAGCAAACTACAATTAACTAGATATTTTTATATTGGGGCACAGGCCCAAATCTTAATAACCAGTGCAATCCCAACTTTTACAACCCCTGGTGGGTGTTGCTCGGCTGAGAGATGAATCACGAACAACGAAAAAGAGTTCTTCATTCGTAAATACACGTGCTTATTTCGAGGGCATTCTAAATATGGATGGCATGAAAGTACGGGCTAGCAAAGCGCAGGCTGGTTCGCAAGTCCATCGCTTACTGAGTTCAAATCAGCATATACCGAGAAAAATCACACCTTTTGATAAGCTTAAGGTAAATTCGCGAAATGAAAAACATTTTTATAAGTAGTTTATAACTAATAAAGGTGCAGTGTGCAGAAGCAAGTACACTTCTCAGCGCCCATCTTACCCTAGACTAATGTAGCGTCCCGAGACTTCCCTGAAGACGAACGAAGACATAGTACTCGGGCAGAATATATATACTCAGCACGGAGAAGGTATTTGGGCTACTGGCATAGCCCAAAGGCCGGCCTGCCTGGCACGGTGCTAAGATCAACCCAAAAGTGGCTCCTCGCCAATACCGATGGATAAACAACCATCACATTACATTAACACTTTTATATCTTTAAAAGGAAACAAACAAAATAAAAATTTTGCCATCTGATGTGCAACTTTTGGGACAACGTAAACAATTTGTATTTCGGCCGCATTTCTAGACTTCCTTACCTAGGTTTTATCCTTATCACACCCACCATCAAAATTTACGTCAACATATCCAAGAGAGCCTCTTGATTTCGCAATACTTTTTACATAACGCGAAGATTAGCCGCGCTGCAAGTGGTAGTAAATGTAACACATAGAAACCTCTCCGACGTCGGAAGAAGCCACTATACTAGAACAGAAGATACACATTCTACATCCAGAAGGCATTAGTACTACTGGGATGGTCAGAAGGCCAGCCTGCCCTGCGAGGTAGTCAGGCCAAGTGACTCTTACCACAATCGACCACTAAACCAAAATCTATCTGCCCAACACTACTTCCTAGAGCTGCTTATAGGCAACAAATCATTTATTTAACTGCTGTTCACCGGGTCGGTTGAGGTGCATAAACGTGTACTGTTTTGCAGAAGACTTATAGGTTAACTTCACTCTCGACCTTCATAAAACGGGGCTGATTAAGGTCATTTATAATGGTAATCTCCTTAACTTGAACAAGGGTCAGGGAGTGTGCATTGTTTACCCTCTTCTGCTTTAAGGAATTTTGAAGACTTCTTCGTTACATCTTACGTCAGAACTGTTCATAAGCCTTCTCGTGTTTGTAGTAGGCACTCTGGAACACTATCGATTGCTACTCCTGTGTTTTGTAAGAAAATAAGGGGAGGTATTCTAAATTTACGATCTGTGAGCATCTTGAGCGGTGAAACACCGACCGATGTATGGACATCCAAGGCTTAAATCCGTCTTTTGATTGCGCATCCGCAGCGAAAGGATTCAATAGTCGAATGAGAGTGCGATTCGTACTTTTCACCTGTCCATTACCGTGAGGGTCTTTAGGGTGCGGAAGGTCTTGCATAGCTCGGTAAAGAGTCGACTGCCAGAATTAGAGTCTTGATTGATATACACCGATTCGGGCACTCCAGGTTGACATGTCTTTGCCGATTGAAAAAACTAAGGCTACTGTCCCAGAGTCTCGTGTCTTCATGGGTTCTACCCCAGCTACTTTCGTGAAGTAGTCTGCCATAACATAAATACATCGGTTCTTCCTCTTGGTGGGTGATAGAGGGTCCATGATGCCAATACCCACCCTTACTCTAAGGTATCCAGTGGGTACAGGTTGCAAAGGTGCAATCAGCACGAGGCGAGACCTCTTGAAAGTGCTGCAGGTGAAGTATGTTCGGCAGAAATTAAATGCGACTGGGGCGAGCAAAAGCTACCAGTACCTTTTGCTCGAGGCATCTACCGTCTTCTTTTTACCCACGTGCCGCAGTTGTTCATACAACTCCTGGATAACTATTTGTACATATGAACCTGGAATCGCAAGGCGCTTAGGAATCGTGACGCCTCGGTACGGTAAAAGCTCATCCTCTGGAGAGAGTTCTGATCATCCTTGACATTTTCTTCTGGTAGTCTTGATCGACTAGGTCATCCCCCCTCCGCTGTCATTATAAGAGGATGCAGAGTCTCCCGTATGCCAGAGTCTTGTCGGGATTGGGACTCTACGCGCCCCTCCAACAGCGTTTCTTAAGACCGCTCTACAATATGGTACCCGCTACATCATCACCTGTTTCAGCCGCGACTGATCTACGATACAAAGCATCTGCACTACAGTGAGCATTTCCTTTTCTGCACTGTATTGTGAAATCATACTGTTGCACTTCCAAGTACCAGGGTTCAACAGAACGGTTCAGCTCTTTAAGCATTTTCAACTGAGTCAGCCAACTATACTCTTCCTCGCCATGGGGTAATGTCTGTAATGTCTCATCATTGTAAAAATAGCGAATAGACAACTCTGTCGCACTACTTTGTCTCAGTCTTTTGCTGAGTCTGGGGCCCGCGTCGTCCATGACTTGCTCTCTTTCCTTCTTTGTTTCTTTGTGTGAGTACACACCCACAACTGCATCACCAGCTTCAGCATGCAATGCAAACGGTGGAGAGTTCGATTCGAAGTTGGACAACACTGCAGTCCGTGCGGAGCAGAGCATTCGTTTTGGTTCCTTTAATGCTTCATTATGATCTTTCTCTTGCATAAAATTGTTTGCCTTATTTTTGGTCAAATTACGCAGAGAGCTTACGATCTCTGCAGAACCTTCAACAAAACGTCTGTAGTAACCTGCCAATCTTTGGAAATTGCTAAGTTCCGACTGGATGGTTGGTGTTGGCTAGATCCTCACCTGTTTTTACGGTCTTCGCTAACTGCCATCCCATCCGAGGAGGCAATGTACACCAAGAGGTTGGGCCAACGCAACAGAAAACGGCATTTCTTTGGGTTAGGGGCCTGCCCCTGTGTCTTGCAGGTAGTCCAACACTGGCCTCAGATCGGCATTATGCTCTCAAATACGAGAATGTCAACAAGATTACCGAAGAAGTGAAAGGGTTGGTTACTAATATGAAACGAATGAAGGGCAAAATAACCGGTATAACCTCCTCCTTTCATCACAGTACTACGTCGATAACCACCATTTGCATTGCTGTTGCTGCCCTCACCAACACCATCAACAAAAAATTTCGTTAAACAACCTGTTAGACTGCGGCGAATTAAACAGTCTCATGACTCCTACAATCTGTATAAAACGGTGGAGTGGGAAAAAATACAAATAGTCGCTTAAAATATACCGACCTCATAAGCCTAAGTCGGATTTCTGCTTGGATTGCATCGCAGTCGCATTTAACGTAGGGGATTAGCAGAGCTTTTGGCAAAGCCAATGGTCCTGTTAAAGTTGATATGGATGTGGATGCTGTTACAAGGTTTCCCAATGCGGTCGCGCCCTTTGGCCTCCCGTTTTGTTGCTGATGCGCTTGTTGTTGTTAAGCTCTTTCAAACGCACCACGATCTTTGGAATGATTGGCTTCGCCGAGGAACTTTCGCACAATGCAATGGGCGACGAATGACCCGAATGAGTCTCTCTCTCTGAGCCGATGAACGGGATCCGAACCCACACAAAGCGTAACAACTGAAGATATTTTGTAGACAATTGATTGAGTTTTGAGGCTTATTCAAAATTAGGCAATAAACGGATGCTACGAATACCTCTTTTTGTAATGTATGCATGACCCACTCAAATTGGTAGCACGACACACCCCGAAGAACCAAAAAGGACTTATCAGTGAAAAAGATATGTAGTGGCATTTTGATGATCTTTCCCTTCTCCCGCCCGCGAACCTTCAGGCCGATAATTCAATGTTCCTGTATGTGGGAAGGTATTTGATGCCAACGTCACCGATACATCCCAACAAGTAAATCTTATCCGTAGCTCCGCGCTATCTGTGGGCTGCGTTTGGAAAGGGCAAATGCACCGACGATTATCTCCTACATGTCTTGAATTCACCATTTGTGCTGTAAATGAGAATGCAACATTTAAGTTCCGTTGAGTTTTCTTCAGAAGTAGGCAGATGAATGTTAAACGCATTTCAAACTATTGCGACTACTCATAAATAGTTAGCTATCTTAAAATCTCAACAGCAACTTTCGTCCTTAATGGTAGCAGTGTTAACAACAGAATCATACTGCATCCATGCATGCCTTGCTAAAACAAGTCAAATATTACCAAAAAGGCACTTTCGACTTCAATTTCGAAACGAAAGAAACTAATGTGGACTAAGGACACCTAGTTTTTAAGCCGCGTTGGAGCCGAATATTTCGTATTGCCGATAATGTGTTTCGTTACAGGATGACTTTCGCAGTCGTATCGGAATCGAAAGTAGCTGGCTTTTGCAAGTGAGAATAAAGCGCATTCGCCTCGTTACATACTCCCGAGGGACCGTATCTGAAAAAGAAAGTGTTCGAAACTTCACTAATTAGATTCACAACATG